GTCTTTTTAGAACCATATTATATATGCTTTTGTTGGTATTGAAATTTCATAATTAAATTCTAACATTAATTACATAGAAATCAATATTTTGCAAATCAACTTGGTGAGCAAATGAAGAAGAAATTGTGCAGTTCTTCTCCAGATTTAAAATGCTGTCGCTACATTTATAAAACCATAAAGAAGGCTGACCACCGAAGAATTGATGCTTTCGAATTGTGGTGCTAGAGGAGACTCTTGAAAGTCCCCCTGGACTGCAAGGAAAACAAACCTATCCATTCTGAAGGAAATCAACCCTGAGTACTCACTGGAAGGACAGATCCTGAAGCTGAGGCTCCAATATTTTGGCCATCTCATGAGAAGAGAAGACTCCCTAGAAAAGCCCCTGATGTTGGGAAAGTTTGAGGGCAAGATGAGAAGGGGACGACAGAGGATGAGATGGTTGGACAGTATCACCGAAGCTACCAACATGAATTTGACCCAACTCTGGGAGGCAGTGGAAGACAGGAGGGCCTGGTGTGCTCTTGTCCATGGGGTCACGAAGAGTTGGACACAACTTAACTACTAAACAACAACAACATTTATAGTACAGTTACAGTACAGTTACAGTACAGTTACAGTACAGTTACAGTATAGTATAGTATAGTATAGTATAGTATAGTATAGTATAGTATAGTATAGTATAGTATAGTAAAATGCCTCTTTTTTCCTTGTAGGGGACTCAAGGTGGCTGAAAACAATTAGAGCTATACAATGGTCACAGTTTTTTAAAATGCCGTAAAAACTGTATTAAAAACTATTAAATATTTCTAAATATTAAAAGAAGATTCAAAACAATTTTAAAACATTTAAGATATATAATTTTAATAAATATAAAATTCCTGAGATCCTCACTTACTTGTTAAAAATCTGCCTAAAGTTATTCTTTTAACCTGTTTCAGTGGGTGTTGAAAAATGACCCAAACATATTTAATCATATATTTAATCATATGAACTCCTCAGTTTTCATAGCATACATAGTTGTACCTATTTATCAAATGAAGACAAATTATGCAGTAAACATTTCCCTTTTGTGTATACCAAAACTGTTGTGTAGTCAGACTAATCAAGGGGTACCTGAGTAATATGAAATAAACAATGTGCTATATATTTTAATTTGATATCATAATAATATCCTCTAAACTAAATTATTTTAGTTTTATGCTTCTAGATTTCTTTTTTCTTCTTGGAACTTTATGTTCTTCACAAAATTATATTTTATCATTTGCCTTTATATCCTTTAGGCTAAATGTGTTCTTTCTTTTCTGTTTGACTTATCATCAAAGCAAATCTTTTAGAGTGCTGGGATGCATTTGACTGCACCCAATCAGAATTACTCATCACTTGGTTGACATCTCACTAAAACTGCAAGGCGTATTCCTCCGCATGTATCAGTTAGGATTGCCAACACCTGACTTAGACCTGCTCCTCCATCAATGCAGTGTATGAAATTGCAGCAATGACAGAAGAGGACCTGAATATCTGACTACCAGACAGTAATATGCCAACTTGAACTCAATAATAAAACTGGTTACTTTAAATTTACCTATTATCTAAGATTACCACATGTACAGTATATAAACCAGTGAGCTGAATAGAAGGTAGGAATGGTGGGCTAGTCTAGCCAGGGATCACAGAGTCAAAGCCTGAATTGTATATTTGTTAGGAAGGATGATATTATCTGCCACCTCTTTTATACTTCTCAAGGTCAGCTGCAATCCTGGTAGTAGCTGGGTGAGGGTAGACTTTCTAGGAACTGTATAGTGCTAGTAATTTTCCCCATTATGCAAAGTATTTGGTGGCACTGGCCATTAGGCGTACAAAAACCATGTTCTTAATGGAAATTGATTTTGCATTTGGCTTGTTGGTAAGAATATCTCTGTTGGGTCCCTTGAGTGTGTGGCTATGAGAATTGTCACACTGAGTCCAGCTACTTCAAAATATAAAACTTTACCACTAGGGAGATGATGCAGACTGCAATTTTGCTCATTGCCTCAATGTATTTGAAGGCATCGACCATAATACTGATAGCATAATTATTCCAGTTCCACCTTAGCTTCATTTACAAACAAATCAAACATTCTTACACCTTAGACCCAATGAATTCATTGAGAATTGTTTCCAGGTGGACCATAAACTGCAATCTGTCTCATTCTATCTGGGAGTAAATCCATTGAACTCAGGGAGACATATCTCTGAGGAGATATTATAGGACTGTGTTGTTAGATTTCTTATCTTGGCACTGATAGTTATGATGGGGGGAGCTTTATATCCGTTCTGAATAAAATAAGAACTTAACCAAAAGGCCTTACATGTGCAGAGATTATTTGCTTTTGTGCCTCAGCAGACACCAAACAACCTGCCCCTTCCTCCCTTGGACCCCTCGTTCTAGAACAAAATGGAAGTTTGGTCTATGTTAGTGTGTGGACCACAGCAAACTATGGCAAGTCCTTAAAGAAAGGGGAGTGCCTGACCACCTTATCTGTCTCCTGAGAAACCTATACGTGGGACAGGAAGCAACAGTTAGAACTGGATATGGAATAACTGATTGGTTCATAATTGGGAAAGGATTACCACAAGGCTGTATATTGTTCCCCCGCTTATTTAAATTATATGCAGAATACCTCATGCGAAAGGCCTGACTGGATGAATCCCAGGCCGGAATTAAGATTGCCGGAAGAAATATCAACAACCTCAGATATGCAGATGATACCACTCTGATGGCAGAAAGTGGAGAGGAATTAAAGAACCTCTTAAATAGGGTGAAAGAGATATGGAGGCAGTGACAGAGTTTACCTTCTTGGGCTCCATGATCACTGCAGATGGTGACAGCAGCCACGAAATTAAAAGACGCCTGCTTCTTGGGAGGAAAGCGATGACAAACCTAGACAGCATCTTTAAAAAAAGAGACATCACTTTGCTAACAAAGGTCAGCATAGTCAACGCTATGGTTTTTCCTGTAGTGATGTACAGAAGTGAGAGCTGGGCCATAAAGAAAGCTGACTGCCGAAGAAATGATGCTTTTGAATTGTGGTGCTGGAGGAGGCTCTTGGGAAGTCCCTGGACTGCAAGGAGAACAAACCTATCAATTCTAAAGGAAATCAACCCTGAGTGGTCACTGGAAGGACAGATCCTGAAGCTGAGGCTCCAGTACTTTGGCCATCTCATGAGAAGAGAAGACTCCCTGGAAAATACCCTGATGTTAGGAAAGTATGAAGGCAAGAGGAGAAGGGGATGACAGAGGATGAGATGGTTGGACAGTGTCATCGAAGCTACCAACATGAATTTGATCCAACTCTGGGAGGCAGTGAAAGACAGGATGGCCTGGCGTGCTCTGGTCCATGGGGTTACGAAGAGTCGGACTAAACAACTAAACGACTAAACAACAACAAATGTGTTAAAGACTCAAATAATAAGTAGAAGTGAAGAGGTGAGGATTCAGTTGATAAAAATAATAGACTCTATAAATACTGGAGTAAAAAGCTTATGTTACATATTCAAAGGGGAAGTAGGAAGAAATGGGTCTATTCTAGAAACAAGACAAATCTGGTATCCTATGTAAAGAAAAAAAATCTTAAAACAGGGTTTCCTGTTGTGCAAGTAATCATTTTTATGCATATTTTTATAATGATGAAAGTTAATTCTTACCAGGTGATAATTAACTTCTAATCTATATCAGATAAAATTTTAAGGAGACTGGAAAAAACCCTTTGTGGGTTTTAGCCTGTTAAATTATCCCATAGCTAACTGAATATGCCTTAAAGCTTTCTTATAGTGATTCTAATCATGTGCACTGACACCCACTGCTGCTGGTAAAGACAAAGCTGATTAATTGCATGGCACCTGGAATGATAATTCTTTCTTAATATTCAGCTATTTTTCTATGCCAAAATCTGAGAAAACTTTATGAATTGTAAATGCTTGTGCCTAAATTGCAAATCTCGGTCAGACCATTTTACAGTTCTGCTAAGCTGAAACAAATGGATGCAAACCAAGTTGCTGCCAGTGATGTTGGCAGGAAGGAATTGACTTAGAACTCCTCATACTTCACTTGTGAATATTGCAGGCACATGTGTTGAGGTGCCATGCCTGGAGTATTTCCTTCTATGATATACACAGAGTGAAAACATGCCCTAAGTTGCAGTTGGCGTGTGAGCATGGTAGCAAAAACCAGTATTAGAAACTGATGCTTTAAATAAAATACATCCAGTTTATGCTCAAAGCCATAATGTACTTATACCGTTGCTTGATGGCAAGATTCTCTGATTACCTGTGACTTCCTCCAAAACATAGTTATACCACATAGTGTGAAATTGGAAAATCTGTTCTGTGTGTGTTCTAATGGATGTAACGGTCATTAAGTATATGAGTCTTCTGACGTTGTAATCAGATGTGATTCAGTCTGTTAAATATCCATGAAGCAACATCTGCTTCACAGAGTGACCTTCTGCTAAAGAATACTTAGCATCTATTAGCAGATCATAGTGCAGATCTGCCTTATTTGAAATGCACTAAACTAGAGTTGTCTACTGCTATTTAGCAACTAGCTTGCAATAATTTATTACAGTTACATAAAGCCTTTTAAAACTTCCATTAAATAATTATAGGGATTATATGATTCTCAGAAACCTTCATATTCCACGGGAATTACTCATTTAATTTCAGGGTTGGTTTGTTTAAAAAAACAATTCCAAGGCATGTTAGATCTGTCAGATATTATATTCTGTAGGTGTTAACTTTTTTTAAAAAATAAACAAACTAAAAACAAAAGCAGTTCTACCATCTGTTGTATATTAATTAGATCTTCATCAAGGGTAAACTCACTCTTAAATGAATGTCATTGAAGCAAACTAATAGAATAATATGCAAATTTATTAGACAGTGGGTTTTCATTTCAGTTTCTGTTTTAGCTCAAGCGAAGGTGAGGATGATTTATAACAAACTTTAATTTTCTTTCTTCTCAGAGCAACCTCCAAATAACCAAGGCCAGTCGACCCTGCAACCTTTGCCACCTTCTCACAAGCAGCATTCAGCACAGCATCACCCATCCATCACCTCCCTTAACAGAAACTCACTGACAAATAGGAGGAACCAGAGTCCGGCCCCGCCGGCTGCTTTGCCCGCCGAGCTGCAAACCACACCCGAGTCGGTCCAGCTGCAGGACAGCTGGGTCCTTGGCAGTAATGTGCCACTGGAAAGCAGGTAATCCTTTAGGACCTTGTAAGACTACAGTTTGGTCAAAATATATGAGACTCCTGACATTTATGCTTCCCCATTTCTGTTAACAAAAGTTGAAGATACTGAGGGTTTATTTCAGTGTAACCAGTATTAGCACTGCTATCTTGTCCCAAAATTCATATCATAACTTACTTCTTCCCTTTGAGTGTTTTTAGTACATATCTAAATACATGATAACTGTACTTCACATGTGTCATTATGTGGAGACAAGCAGAGTTTCCTACGTTATCATTGTTAATGTTATTATATTGGTTATCATGAATAATTGCTCCTTTTTGACAGATATCTATGGTGATGATGCTGTCAGAAAATCTTATTCAGCTTTTCAGCAGTTTAGATATTCTCAACATCAGTATTTTCTTCATACTTGTTACTTCTGTTAGCCCTTGCTTTGTATTTAGATGCCTCCTGTTCTTATGTGCACTTCCCTTCATCCATAACAGCCAGCTGAAATTAGAAGTGTCTCTGTCTGTTTAGCCACAGATTAATTATTGCCACCGTAACAGATCTAGAGCATAAGGGTTATGATTCAGCCCTCATAGATGAACAGCAGTTATAAAGTTAGCAGAGTGCCATCTGTGCTGTAACCTATTGGGAATGTTTACGTAACCCCCTGCTTTGGTTGTGTAATGTCTGCCCTGCATGATCCCCAAGCACTGGAAAATAAGAGCTCCTTGGGAGCTGTCTATCCAACTTTATATGTTTGCAGAGAACTAGCACTTCCATGTTTACAAAGCAAACTGGAACATTGGTGGAAGCCGTCCTGTTCTCCCTATGCAGGAAACCTGCTTCTGTCCTTGTGTAGTCTGTAACACGTGATATCTGGAACACTGAGAAAATGACAGTAATCTGTATCACTACAAGTACTAGATGGGGAAACTCCTGTACCACTAAGACCCAATGAGTCTCTTGCTCAAGTACAGTGGTTCCTTGACTTACGAATGCCCCGACGTACAAACATTTCAACTTACGAACAACTCCATTCACAAAAATTTGCTTTGACTTGCGAACGAAGCCTTGACTTATGAACAAAAAAATTGCGGGGAAAGCGGGAAATGGACTTTGTACTACCCAGTACTGTAATTTTAAAATGTAAAAATTGGTTTAAAAGGCACTTGGTTTGGTTGAAATTTGCTTGGTTTTAAAGGTGTTCTGTTTAAAAGGTGTTCGTTCCCTACCTCCTTTCCTCCCCTTTTTTAAAACCTAAGTCATCTTAGGTTAAAATAATATATTCTCCTCCTAGTGGTAGAGGACAGATTAACCGGTTTTGCATTAGTTCCTATGGGAACTAATGCTTTGACTTACAAACGGTGCCTCTACATACGAACAAAAAACAGCTAGAACGGATTAATTGGTTTTCATTGCATTCCTATGGGATATGCTGATTTGACTTACAAACTTTTCGACTTACGAACATCTTCTGGGATAGATTAAGTTCGTAAGTCGAGGCACCACTGTATATGGGTCTGTTCAGGTATACGGGTAAATTAATTTTGTAATTCTAGAATAGTGGAGGTATAATTTTTGCATCCAGTATCATGTTTATTTTGGAAGCTTCTTTCTAGAGAGATGTTTTATACAGGTATTTCTCACTTTTTATATTGACCATATTTCTTCTGTAACTAACATTTGTAAATAGGGTAATATAAAGTGCTGCTACTAATTAAAAGAACAAATTGTGAAGGGAGTGCTTTCTTATAGGTGTTCCAAACCTTACAAAATAATCTTTTGACCTTTTTTCCAACCCCCCAATTTTCTGCCGTAGTTGTAAAGACATCTTCCAGGTTTTCAAATTCTAAATACACATCTCCTCCACCTTGGGTTACATGAGCTATGATAGCCACAAACTTTCCAGAAAGATGCAGTTAGGTCTAGTTTAGATGGTAAACATTTGGATTGCACTTCCTTTTGCAGATGAGGGATCATTTCATTAAATACATGCACAGTTCTCTGCACGTTCCAAACAATACCTCCTCTCTCATTTTTACATCCAATCACCATCCATACATAGAGGAATATTTTCTGCCAATCATTCCACACCTACTGATCAACTCAATGCATAGACATATGGGACTACATGTATAAATATATTGTGCATAAATAGAAAACCCCACAGTGATCATTGCACAATCGGTTTCCCTTCTTGGCAGGATTTCCATTACAGGGCCACTCATGTACTAGCTGTGAAATCTGACTGGGACTAATTTTGCAACCAGTATCTGACCAATCATGCAACGAATACCCTGCCAAAGGAGAAAAAAGGCTTGCACGATTACCATCGCATGAGCAGTTTTTTTTCTAACATGATTCCTGCCACAATTGTTTATGTGGCTGTTATTAATAAAATTGTGACCTATTTATTCTCAGGCTGATTTCTGTCTCATCTTTGCCACTTGTAAAGGCTAGGCTAGAACTTTCTCCCTCACATACCATTTTCTCTGTGGAGAAAATTTATTTATTTTGTATAGAGGAGGAGTTAGTTACATGATACCCCATCTGTGCTGTGAAGCTGGTCCAGTCCAGTCACAATATAAGTATCAACCTCAGTAAAAAAATGAGGCCATAGAAAGATAAGGATGATGAACTTGTATCCAGTGGCAATCCTTTGCCTACACACATCATTCTGATAAACAACCATATGTCCTAGGTTACAAATGAAGCTAAATGCTTTGGCCTCATACAAATTAACATAGTGTAGTTTATTTGTAATCACTCACCAAAGGACTTAAGTATCTGCCCTGTGATAAATTTTTCTAGAAGCTTTGATGTTGATTAGTTAACGTTATCATAATTTTTTACATTCTGTTTTAGTAAATGTCTAGTTACTTATGTTTGATATTTAATTATGTCTTACTACATTTAGTTAAATATCAGAATGTGGTGAATTTATATTTAGATTACTTGTGTATATGTATGTTTGAATTATTTCTAATCCACACATCAGTGAAAATATCTGGAGCAATATAAAGGTTAAATATAACGGCAAAAATCCTTAATATGCTAAAGTAAGTCACTGTTAGAGTAGGCCAATTTGAATAAATGGAACTGAAAGAGAAGTTGACTCACTAACTGCTTAAGTAGTTAATTACTTCTTAACTACTCAATACTAGGCTCAACAACAAGATTTTGGCCAGTAAAACACATGCTCTAAGGCTCAATTTTCCTATTAATTTTTGCTGCATCTCTAATTTTGAAAAGAAATCATACTCAGAAGACAAATGTGGACAGATGATTTTGAGAAGAACTCATATTCAGGTGACAACTGTGGATTATCTCTATATAGGGAAAGTTTCTATGCCATTATATGTAAAAAAAATTGGTGTCGTGGATACAGTGGGGTCTCTACTTAAGAACTTATTCCGTATTGGAAGGTGGTTCTCAAGTTGAAAAGTTCTTATGTTGAATCTGCATTTCCCATAGGAATGCATTGAAAACCATTTAATCTGTATCTGCTCTTTTCCGTCCATAGAAACTACAGTGGAACCTCTACTTAAGAACTTAATCCGTTTTGGAATGGTGTTCTTAAGTTGAAACATTCTTAAATTGAAGCAAAATTTCCCATAGGAATGGAATGAAAACGAAATAATCCGTTCTGGCTGTTTTTTTTGTTATGTAAAGGTGCGTTCGTACATTGAAGCATTAGTTCCCATAGGAACTAATGCAAAGCTGGTTAATAAGTGCTCTACCACTAGGGGGAGAATTTTTTTTAACCTAAGATGACCTAAGGTTAAAAAAAGAGCAGGAAAGGTGTTTTTTTTCCTGTTCTTATCTTGGATTTCTGTTCTCAAGTAGAAGCAAAATTTAGCAAATGGAGCTGTTCTTAAGTTGGATTGTTCTTAAGTAGGGACGTTCTTAAGTAGAGACCCCACTGTACTTGTCATGAATGCCTCAATCTACTGTAATATATTTATAGTGAAATTAACCTTATAATTTTCTTCAAGGGCCACCATGTATGTCCCTTGTGAAATCAGAGGATTTGATGTGTCTTGGCAAACTCTGTCATCCTGGATCTTTTGACCAGGGACACAGCAATACATCTTGTCAGGTCTGCAAACTAGGGAACAGGCAGTGATGAAATAGAAGTAGGACGGAGACTAGAGGGACAGTGGCAGAAAACTCCAAGCAAATCTTACCAAACATGAGTTAGAGCTGTCATAGAATAGCTGAAGGCTATTCCATGACAGTGGTGTCAGCGAAGAAAGCTTTCTTCTCTGCTACCATTGCTTCTGTTCAGTTTCATCCGGTGGTGCAGTTTTGAGTGATCTGTGGCCTGTTATGTCTTGACCCACAAGAAGAGAATGTGGACTACTCAACATCCCATCATGAAGAATTTCCACAATATTTGGCAGACAAAGTCACTTGAATCTACTGTGACTTCTATTTTGTAATTTATACACATCCTGTGGATGTAAACTTGATACTGTACCTGCTTGCTTTGTGTGGACGGATTTGTTCCAGTTTCTGCAGCCCAAGGCTATGAGCAGACTCCTTGGAGAGATGAGACCCTCTTCACATGTGTGTTGGATCCTTGCCTTTCCTGGCCTATAAAATCAGCCAGATGAGGATTGACTCGGTGGGTAAGGGGAGTGCTAAATGCTTCTCGGGCTCAAAATATAATTCCATCCTGCCTTAAAATGGCATTTATAAGGCCTGTTTTGAAAAAAAAAAACTATCTGAATCCTACTACAGTCTCCACTGTTCCATTTTTTTGGGGGGGGCAAAGTGCTGGTGTATGTAGTGACTCTTACCTCCAGGGCGTTCTGGATGAAACGTTCTGTTTCAATCTTATTTCAGACCTAGTTATGGGACTGAGACAGCTTTGTTTGCCTTGGTAAATAAGCTACAATGGGAAGTAGATGTTGGAGTGTTTCCTTGCTGGTTCTCTTGGACTTCTCAGCGGCTTTCAGTATCATCAACAATGGTGTCTTTCTGGCTCACCTCACTGGAATAAGACTTGGAGACAC